TAAAAACTCTCCACTACGTAGTGGAGGACCCTTCAGGGAACCCCCAGAAAAATAATTTAAAAAATCTGGTGGCATTCTTAAGAAAGTTATAAGCATTTTAACTCAATTGAATACCTATGTAATTACCTGAAAAATTCGAAGATGACTAAAAAATGTTGTCAGATCAATTTTTCCTGCTGTAATTCTGATATTTTGTAATTTTCATAAAGCGTTTTAAAGGTTCACAACAAATTTTTATAAACTACTATGTTATGGAACAAAAAAAGATTCCTAACACTTTGTACCATAGACCATACAAAACATTGCAATTTGAAAAAAAATTCAAAATAAGGAAGTTGAATTCTAGTACAGTAAATAGATACAAATAAATCCCATTTACTAAAAAAAAATACTTAAAGGCTGAAATTTTGAGGGTGTATTCGGGGGCATGTCCTGAGTCTAAAACTGAGTTTTCGTATTCGAGGGGGTGGGGGAAGATACTACCCCCTCTTTATATAGGGTTGAGTTCGTTTTAATTCCTTATCTTCGGTGATATTGCCCGTACCGTCAAGTCCGAGGGATCAAATTTGTGGGAAATAAAATTATCTATCTAATGATAATATCAAATCAAGGTCATAGGACGATTAGGTGAATCACAATGGCCGGTCAAAGGTCAAAAGTGGGGGGTAGTTTTGGGTTTTTCGTGAATACCGTGGAACCGGTAGGTTTTTTCGCATACTGCTTCAATACCATTTCGAAGTACTTGAAATTACCTACAAAATGAGTGCTCAAACACTCATCTACTGTGAATAGTTTGCCGTCAATCCAACAACGAAGTTGACCGCGCGCGCTTAGGAAGCGTCAGAGCAAAAAACGCCTAGAGACATTTTCGGCGTATTTTTTCCTCCTCTATCCGATGAAAATTTTAAATTTCCAAAATTCTTGAAAATAAATGCAAAACGCGTATACCCCATTCTACGCTCTTTCTCAAAATTGGGAGATGGGGGCTAAAACCTTTCCTATAATGTCGTAGAGAGCTGAAACTTGAAATTTAACATTTTTTAGACCCCTTTTACCTACACTTTAAATTTCATCCAAATCGGCCCAAAAAAAATTTTTAGCGGCCCCCTAGGGGACTTTCCTTTCAAGATAGGGGTTTCTCGTATTTTTTTCCAATAGAGGACCCGTTTCACTATATACATACCAAATTTCAACTCCGACGTCATTTTTAGATCGCAAAGGGGGTCCGTTCTCCAGATATTGCGTTTTTTATGTTTTTCCCCCCCTCCAAAATTTTTAAAAAATTCGTCCCCCATCCATTCGATAGAGGAACTTTTTCTCTACTCCCCCTGAAAATTTAATTTCCCCCCCACCCGTTTGGGCTGTACAGGGGTCGAAAGTCAAAACTTTGACAGCCCACCAGGGTTTCCCAGGGGAGGGAGGGGATGAAATTTGTTTTGGCTCGACAAAATTAAAAGTTCTAAGTCGCCTGAAAATTTCAACTCTCTAGCTTATCGGGAAGTACAACATCGTCGCGCGAGGTCAACTTGGTCGTTGGATTGACGGCAAACTATTCACAGTAGATGAGTGTTTGAGCACTCATTTTGTAGGTAATTTCAAGTACTTCGAAATGGTATCTAAGCAGTATGCGAAAAAACCTACCGGTTTCACGGTATTCACGAAAAACCAAAAACTACCCCCCACTTTCGACCTTTGACCGGCCATTGTGAATCACCTAATCGTCCTATGATCTTGATTTTATTATCATTAGATAGATAATTTTATATCTGTCGGACTTGACGGTACGGGCAATAGCACCGAAGATAAGGAATTAAAACGAACTCAACCCTACACAAAGAGGGGGTAGTATCTTCCCCCACCCCCTCGAATACGAAAACTCAGTTTTAGACTCAGGACATGCCCCCCAACACACCCTCAAAATTTCAGCCATTAAGTATTTTTTTTTAGTAAAATATCCCTATTTACTGTACTATTTCTACCTCTTCATATTACTTATCTACCTCTTCATATTACTTATAGTTGGGGAGCTGGCGTCAAAAACATGCAAGAGTTTTCGCAAGGCGGATATTTTCAAAATAGGTCGTACTTTAGTGCTAGAATGCTAGTGTACAGTCAGCACTCACAGTTCCGGGACAGCTGGCTCTAGGACGCGGGCAAAGTTGTAATTTTAAGAAGCATCTAAACTGTTTTCTCAAAGCTCAATATTTATAGAAATTTTGCACATTATCTGTTTGAAGGTCACAGATAACGTATGTAAATCGTCAGACGTCTAGTTAGTTGCAAAAAGGGGGTCAGACGTCCTCAAACTTTTTATTTTATGGCATTTTCTTCGGTGTCCTGTCAAAATATATTTTTACAGGTATTTGACAAATATATTTGAAGAAAATGCCATAAAATAAAAACTTTGAGGACGTCTGACCCCCTTTTTGCAACGAACTAGACGTCTGACGATTTACATACGTTATCTGTGACCTTCAAACAGATAATGTGCAAAATTTCTATAAATTTTGAGCTTTGAGAAAACAGTTTAGATGCTTCGTAAAATTACAACTTTGCCCGCGTCCCAGAGCCAGTTGTCCCGGAACTGTGAGGGCTGACTGTACACTAGCATTCTAGCACTAAAGTACAACCTATTTTGAAAATATCCGCCTTGCGAAAACTCTTGCATGTTTTTGGCGCCACCTCCTGGACTATTAGAATGATTGAGAAAAAGATTTTTTTAATTATTTTTCTGGGGCCATGTAGTGAAGAGCTTTTACGCTATTTTTCGGACACCCTGTATACTGATGGCTACTTTTCTCTTTCTAGTTCATTGCTGTGAGGTTTGGTATATTCCTAACCCCAAATAAAAAAATTTTTGGACAAGGAAAGATTTCCATAATTCGCCAATTAGATAAATAGAGATAGGTATCCGTCACATTCTCCATCTCAATTTTATAAATCGGCGCGGCCATTCCAGGTACTTACGTGTACTTTATAGTTCATTGTAATATAATTATATTTCTTTTTTTTTCTGTTAATTTATTAATGAAATAAAATAATTATATAGTGAACAATGAATTGAAATAAAATAAAATATAAATGATCAATTTATAATTTTATTAAAATGTCAAAAAAAAAAAGAATAAGCTAGGTTTTATGTATGATTTTGTGTTATAATGATTTTTTCATTTTAAATACGACCCACCCATACAATGAGAGCTTATTACGATAACGTAACCCATTTTATCCTATTTGAGTTACGGTATAAGTTGTATTATCGTACTAGTGATGTAATGAGCTCCTTACATCACTAGTAATTTAATAGGCTCATTACGTAACTCATTTTTTATTTATGAATATTTATGAATATAAAAACTGATACCTGATAGTGTTGCTTAAAGTCCTTGTTGAGAAAATATTATCTTTGCGCCTTGAGCTTTAAGCTCACCGAATAATCTGTTGTGAAAAATCAAAACCATCGAATCATAAAACAAAAATCTGGGTCGTAGATAAAATGTTGTATATCACACGTACGGTAACGCTCCTTATAGCACCCGTGTGGCTACCGCGACTCGGTCTACAACCTCGTCGTGACAATATTTCCGTTTGATTCGCAATCTTTTTCCCATAATTTCTTTAATTAAAGGTTTCGGCAAGTATTTCGAAAATTTAATATTTTTTTGCATTCTGGTGACGTCTGGCAAGGCTTTCAACCCGTGAAAATCGTCTGGCATTATTATAGCCTTGTTAAGGGAACATTTTTGAATGATATTCCGCAAAAATTGACCATCGGCAAATAGTTCAATTTTCGTGAATTTTTTAATGACTTATTAATTATGCCTATGCCAAACTTCCCCACTACATGCTGCCAGACTATGGTTTTCGATCTCGGGGGATAAAACTACATCGTTTAAGCATAAAATTTTCCATCGGCAACTTTTTACGGAAAAAAATTCACTGGCTCTTAGACTATAGGGTGTATAGAATTAAAAAAATAGTAATAGCGAGGGAGGCGGTGGTCAAGATTTTCAAATGATGTGAGGATATGGCTTTTTTTCACAAACTCACTTAATTCACTACCCTGTCTCTGTATTTCTAAAAATCAACAACGACAACGGGTACGTCAGTTGAATTCAAATTCACTGATATGCGCCGGGCGATTTCTACGCGACTTTCGGCTTGAACTTTTTCAGAGCAGAAGAGAGTTGATATTGATATGATAGTTGATTTTTTATGAGGACGGTGGTTTACGCGAAATAACGTATGAATTGTTGATCAATGGCGTGGGAAGTGAGATATTTTAATTTATTTTTATAAATATTCGAATGGCCCACCTGTCGAAGACGTCACCTAGCCCACCGGGATCTTGCCCGGTGGACCAGTCCGACACTGTGTGCGTTTAGGGCTGCCATTTATGAAATTTGTTACCTAGGACAATTTTTACAAAAACCTCGGATTCTAACCCCTCAAATCGGGACACCACTAAAGGGTAGCCCACCTTAGGCGCCGCCCAAAAAAGTTTATTTCAAGCCTTCGAGAACCACTCATTATTTTGACAAAAAAATAATTTTTTTTGGGATTTTTTATAGCTTTCACCGAGCTCCAAACATGACTAACGACACGTGAACGTGAAATTTGAGTCGCGCACACGCGGGCAAAATAAAACTTATAATGTCGATTGACGATTTTCTGGATTCTTGTCAATTTCGCGGAGTTATTCGTGATTTTTTTAAGACGCCGTAAAGCGTAAAACACGGATAACTTCAAAAAATCCCCCCGGACGTCTCCGGGCGCCTTTAAAACTAGGACAAATCCGGGGAAATCCGGACGGATAGCAGCCCTATGTGCGTTCATAGTTGATGCCTAACTACAGTAACTACCTACCGTTTTTTTTTATGTGTTTTGATTCCATGCGCGTCACATAAGTATTACTTATACTTCTAATGAAAAAAATATCTATTATTAGCTGCAACTTTTATTAAAAAAAATATTTTGCTAATCTATAATTACTTTTATAGATCCTCTGAAGCCGCTTTAGAAATGATGCTGAAATTTAAGCATATAGAGACGCGTGTCGTGATTCAAAATAAATTAATGCAAAAATTCGACGTTATTTTGGATCAATATACGAAAGAAATTTTGGCCGTCGATGACAACTTTACGGTATAAGTTGAATAAATTCGAATGAAATCACCAGCTAATAAATTTTATAATATTTTAGAGAAATAAAAGACACCCAAATCTGAACAGAGACATGCCACCACACGCAGGGGCCATTTATTGGGTGCGTTTGCTATTTTATAAATTAAAAAAGCCAATTTTAAAATTCCAAAATGTCGTCGAACTAATGAACTCTCCTTTAAGAGAAGAGGCTTTTGATTCTTATTTGAAATTGGCTAAAGAATTACGGGCATATGAACAAGGTACTTATATTATATTTTAAAATTCAATATCGCTAATTTTAAATTTGCATAAAAAAACAGCCAAATTGGACGATTGGATAGATAGTTACGGACCGCTTGTGGAAAAAGTGATGCAGCTGGAGGTACTGAAAGTAACTGAAACTACTAAAAAGGCCAAGATGTTCAAACGAACCAGAAGCTCGTTAGGGCGCAGCAGTCAGCAACTATTCAGTTCTGTAACTAGTGGGAATGCAGCTGTCAAATCTTTAATACCAATCAAAAGTAAGAATATTTTAATTTATTTTCTTTAATAGTTGGTTCATATATCTAGCAGTGTTTATGAGATTTTCAAACATAAAAAACCTAAAACATAGCTTACTACTAGGAATTTAAAAAAAACTGTTACTTACAAATCAAAATTCACTTCATAGGATAGGCCAAACAGGGGTTGAAAGTTGAAAAATATTAAACTAAAATTTCAATGCCATTGGTTTGGAGTTGGATTATTTTGTAATTTTAAAATTTGTATTGTGCCAAGGCCAAGCAAAGAGCCTAAAACAGCTTAGGGGATGAAGAACTTTTTAGATTTACTAGGGGACTTGAAAGCAGCTTTATTACTTTTTTTGAAATTCAATTACCTACACAGGGAATGATGCGGTGATAATCACTTCTAATGAATAACCTCCTCAATAGTCACTTTTCTATAGGAATTAGTGTTAAGAGTGAGCTCAAAAAGTTTTCCTCGAGTGTTTTGTTTTCATTTGCTCGACAGCCCGACCCTGTATAGAAAATAACTATTAATATTTTGGAATTCTAGCTGGAAAAAAACCGCAAAGACCATCATTAACTACTTATTCGGCTGTCAATTTGATGGAGAGAGTTCATTCTCAAAAAAATTTAACTTGGCACGAAATTATGGGCAACAATATTATGATCGATTTCAGCTCGAAATTTGATTTGAATTTTGATCCGTCGTTATGGAACTGCTTTAAATGTATCGAGACTTTCGAGCTGCTGAAGTTCAAATTGCCTGAGAATTTGAGATTGATTGCCATGAGGAAGGAACAGTGTTCGAAGAATGTTAACGCTGTTATTAGGATGTTGAAGATGTATAATGATATTATGGATAAGTTGACGCCACCACAGGTAAGAATTTGTAGTTCGGGCAATATTTAGGATTTCATTATACCTGTATTGAAAAATATACACAATGCGGCGTCGCCATTTTTTCTATTTGGAAAAAAGTAGACAAACTGCATTTTATTCATAGATTTCTCATTATTGGTTCCTCTATTGCGGTAGACGCTTCCTATGCAGCTCTGCTTAAATCGCCACTACATTTCATTGACTTTTTCTAGTCCAATTGTAAAATATCTGCAAGCTCGTTTTTACTCGAGTCATAAATGTCGTCAAACGTCAAATTCTGATGAGGTATATGCCTCATTGGGTATGCCAATCCGTGACATTGACCACAAGTTCTGGACACACAGGCGATATACAATTATGGGTTTTAGAGTTCAGGTAATGAAGAACGGAAAAATCCAATAAAATGCAGAGTGTCACGTTTAGAAATTTAAGTTGGGCGCTGTAGACTGCTTCTGAAATATCCTGTCAAATGATACTCCCAAATTTGAAAAAATGTCGTTTAGACCAAACAACTTTTGTATTCAAGTTTTCTTTGTAAACCTGAATGAAATAGAGTTAAAGAGGGGTTCAAAATTTAGTGAATATCCCTGAAGTTGCCAATGCTTACTTCTTCTTTCATAGCATTATACATGAGTAAAATGAAACGAGCTACGTAGCGGAGCGAGATAGACTTCGTGACAATAGTCACCTATTGTGCAGGTCGTAGATGAAAAGATTTATCACAACATACCCCTTCCTATTTGAAGAGATAAGGGTAGTAGCCACCCCCGCTAGGGGTTTGAGCTTACAGGGATGAAGTTGATAGTGAAACGTGTCCCCTTGAAAACAAAAGTTTGCAGGTCTGATGGTTTTTGTCTAGTTATCACGTACGAAGCCGTAAACTTTGCTAGACTGTTAGCGATAGGTCACCCTGTATAAGATCCAAAATGTATTTGGAAATAGTTAACATAAAAAAAATGTCGAAAACGGTAGAGAAAGTATCATATTCACAGTTGTTCATTCGAGAATAATGTACGGTACGTGACCAAATTCCTGGAGAATTTTACGCTTTGTCGCAATTGTGATAACCTCTTTAGACGTCCGACATACAGAAAGCCAAATTTTCGCGAAAAAATGATTTTTGCAATCTTTGACATTTGATATCTCAGGAAGTACCTAGCACAAGACAAGGCTGAACATACAGCTATGCAACATCCTTTTTTAACTTAAAAGCGCTTTTTAAAACTGGTACGTACCTTTAAAAATTTGTATGGTTTAGAATACTAATTTTTGAAAGTGACCAGTTTCAAAAAGCGCTTTTAAGTTAAAAGAGGATATTGCATACAGCAGATAGACTTTTTGGTACTTCATCAGAACCTGCTGAACAGCAAAACGAAGGTCTCTGCGAAAATTTTCTTTTGCTAAATCATTCCGCAGATTTTTGTCGAATCTTATTTGACTAGAGTATGGTACCTATATGTATACAGTGTGATTTTTTAAGTGTGTAACATATGGGGATTTTTTTTTAGTAATAGCACAACCCAAATACAAACAAGACCAAAAGTTGGTGCATGTCCTATAATCATATTAGGTGCACTTAGAATGGTTGCAAGTCAAACAGCATACAGGGTAGCTCAAACAATATCAAAGCAGGTACTGTAAAGTACCCTTATTTTAGAAAATTCAACAAAATGTTATAGAGAAAAGTTGTTTGGAATTAAAAGTTATGCCTAAATACCAAAACATAGCCTCCTAAGATTTTTTTTATTTTTTTTCGAAAAAAATCTATAATTTCTTTTTTTTTTTTATTTTTTATTTCCGCCCTTTAGACTTTCAAAAATTAATTAAAATCAAATCAATTTTACATAACTTTGTTCAAATTCAAGCATATTTGTAAAATTACCTTAGATTTTTAATTTTTTATGGAATCACAAAATTCATGTTTGTTGCAATGATATTCAACACAACATTAAAATGTCACAATTTTTTTTTTTAACAAGTTAAAACATCACTAATGATAAAAGCCATATTAAAAAAACTCTCCTTAAAGTGCAAAAGTTTTATTTTATTTAAGTAAATATTAGTAGAATTTTGATATTTTTTGAGCCACCCTGTATGCTGTTTGACTTGCAAACATTCTAAGTGCACGTAATATGATTATCAGACATGCACCAACTTTTGGCCTTGTTTGTATTTTGATTGTGCTATTACTAAAAAAAAATCCCATATGTTGCACACTTAAGTAATGACACTGTATTTAAACTACGTATCAATCGAACTCGAACACCCCAATTTTTGTTAGCTTTTTGTAAGACTATATTACTATAACTCAAAATCTAGCAAGCCGATTTTGTTGAAATTTTCATTAGTGAAGGGCTGCTCTAATTGCTACTGTATGTTTTTTTTTTTTAAGATAAAAGTCAAAATGACACTATGTTGGCAATACAATGTAAAATTGTCAATGCTTTCAAATTTTTTATGTATAAAAGGCTTGTGTTGCCAACATAGTTACTAAATTTTTGACTTGGCTTGGGGAATTATCGGGGGTAATACCACGAGTGCTTAAAAATTACGGATAATTTTCATGAAAGCTTGTTGTTTTAATTCCACGAGTTCGAAGAACGAATGGAATTTGTACAAAAAGCTTGAACGAAAATTATCTGGTTAATTTTTAAGCACGAATGGTATTTAGGGAGAATATTTCACGAATTATAAAAATTATCACACATCTTATGGGTTTTTGGTTTTCTGTCAAACTCAATGATATGTGGTATATCTTGACTTACTGATAAAAAGTTTTCATGGGCCCAACCCGATACTATGATTAGTTTCCGAAATACAGGTGGTTTAATGTTCAAGAAATGTATACATTTTATATGCATTCACATCTACCTGTCACCTATTATTAGGTCTGTCAGAGTGAATTTCATTGGTTGTAACTAGTTTTCTGACTGTTTTCGACCAATCAAATTCGCTCTGACAAGTTTGTGATTTTTGCAAAAATAGACCTATTATTAGGTGACAGGTAGATGTGAATACATATAAAATGTATATGTTACTGTAAATGCCCGAAATTCGGTAAAACCTAGGATAAACGCGCTAAACCTAGGATTTACCAAAAGCAAGTGGTAAAAGCCCGAAAACTAGTTATTTTGCTATCATTTCGGACTTTTACCGGACACAAACAGTAAATCTTAGGATTTACCACACCGCATTGGTAAAAGTACGAATACCACTGATACGTTACAGAAATCGATATTTCTTGAGTCCTGGAGATTCCATCTCAGGAAATTAGCGGAAGAAGTGCAGTGTGAAAATTGTCGTTATATAGTGGCCAAGGATTTAAGGAATGCAATTGCATTCAAAAATGTTCCACCAAAAGATGTTTGTGCAAATTCTCTAAAATACTCTGAAATTCTAAATGCATGGAAGTTTCCTCTGTACCAATAAATAAATATTTCTATTAGCGTACAGGGTGCTGCAATTTGGAATGTTTTAACAGGAAAAACATACTTACAGACCAGATAGAGGAAAATTGACTTAGACGTCATGGGATCGATTTTCGAGAAACGTCGATTGTCAAAAACCGTATCACGATATCTTCAATGGTACCATTGATACAGACTACAGAGCGATTTTCGATTTTCCCCCATTATGAAAAATCGCTATAAGTTTTTTATTTATCAATTTTTTTTATTTCTGTAAAAACATTATGTAGATAATTTTTTGAGCACAATCCAGTGGCGAACTCAGTTTTTCTCTATATCGCTCCAATTTCGAGATATCGACCAAAGTCCGATATTTTTAAATGAAACACCCTACATATTAATGGCCGCGTTCACCAGATACAAACGTTGGTAAACGGTTTGCGATTGTTCTGCTGAACGCTACGTTGAATTTATGTTGAAACCAAACATGTTTTGCAAACGGCTGCCATTTTTGCAAGCATAATTTGAGAGTGTTTATAATTGAAGACCCTGCTGCAACAAGGAGGTATCTGCATTTTTTGGCCAAAATGAGTTATCTGCTGTAATTGAAACAAAAAGTAATATTCTATCGTTTGGCGCAACAACGAGATTTCGAACTAAAATATTTGAGAGGGGGGAGAACCAGAACACATACATCCTTTTTTATTTGGTGCAATATAGACGTATCTGTAGCATATACATCCATATTGCACCAAATGACAAATTTATTCTACTTTGACAATAGCAGATATACCATATACTTAACCTAATGAATGCCCTATTATAGAAAAAACTGAGCTATACAGGGTTCCAACTATTTCATAGGGACAGCATTGATTGCTATTTCGGGAACGGTTAAAGTTAGAAGGGCGTTTAAATTAGAAAAAAGTTGCCATTTTTGAAGGATATTAAAAATATAATACTTGTGAATTTGAACTATGTCTCTAAAATCATTAGATTTTAAAATATTTGATCAAATTGTTTTTGGAAATTTTCAAAAATAACCCTGTATTTGCGAAAATAATAGAAATTTGGCAACAACGAAAATATCTTTTTAATATTGTTCAAAAATGGCAACTTTTTTCTAATATGAAAATTTTGGATTAACTTTCCTTGCTATTCCATCCACAGATGCGTTTCGACCTATCCAGGTTTCGTCAGTATGGCTAGGAAAGCGAAGAAAACCAATCCAAATAAGTTTTTTTTTCTATGTATTGGTGCCTTTTTTGTGCAAAAAGGAGGTATCTGCATTTTTGTTTATTATCTACTGATATCATATGAAAACAAATTCAAATTTTTTTTGCGTTAAATTATTCACTATAGATCTAATACAGCCCTGAAAGATTTTTTAACGTTCTCAAATACATAAAAAAATTATTAAGTTTTTTATGTCTCCTGTAAAATTTGAAAAAATACAGATACATCCTTCTTGCAGCAAACCCTTCAATTGTCAACACTGTGTTTTGTGTGGTGACATGTCATTCAGAGGGTGACGTTCTATCATTGAAAAGTTGAATCGTTCAGCAGAACCAAGAGTTTACCCAACATATTCTG